TCTTTTGTTATTGTCTTCACCAAGATGCTCTTTGTTTCAGATAATATCTCTCAACCAAAGTAATTTCTTGTTACCAAGTGTTATGGTAACAAGAAGAATCAAGATAACATTATGGAGGTAAAAAACTGGCCTACTTCGGATTTCCAGAGCTTCTGTAACATATAGGATCAGTTGGATAGGCTATACTTGTCCAATGGAGTTCAAATTTGGATATGTTGTAGTTAACATCCATTGGAACAAGTTTCATGAAGATCTTCACCTCATCCGAGCCCCAGAGAATGCTGATCCAAGGCCAAGAAATTGACCTACGAAAATGAACAAAATCAGAATTTATAACCAATAATGCACTTTTAGCTCATTTTCATTCTAACCAAGGTAAAACCTAAGAAAACACAAAAAGGAAGTAAAAAGCTATAAAATGTCAAGAACTAACTCAAAATAATAGGTGAATAACATGATAAATCATGTGTAAAAATGAACCGAATAGTGGGGCGCAAAACAGAAAATTGTGAGTGGACAAAACAAAGTTTAGTTCAATTAAACCAAAATAATATAACCCCACCGTTTTAGAAAACGATGTAGAAAATCCAATGCACGTCATAATTATACAATAAGTTTGCTCAACAACCAGAGCTAAATCTGAAAACCATGTTATATAACTCATAAAACAACCCATCCAAACCTTTCCTTAAAAATCTCAAAACCAAAACTCTTGAAACACGTGCCCACTGGCACGATGAGCGGGGAAGTATCCTCACTTAGAAACAAGAACAAATGCCTAGCTATATATATATATATATACACATGACACATCTAGTTGTACTGGGGAAACAATCCAACAGGGGATTGTTGACTAACCACATGTAAACAGTCCTACGCGCGCAGACTACCCAATTAAGGGTCTACAGCGACACCCCGTTAAGGCATGTCCCGGGTCCCGACATTTCCAAGTATCTCACATATCCAACATCAAGTTCCAAACTAGGGGAGGTACACGGGGTAGTGCTTATAGCACTTCAAACCGACAATCTAAACTCACATCTTTCCACATCTCATAACAACACCCCGTACTTCCCACACATAACCCACCAAAATAGGTAATAATTTCTCAAATATCATTCGTATATACTCAAGATACTTAAAATGTCAAAACCCAGGTATATCACAATTACTTTACGAAAATAATAGTTCCAACTATAAAGTATATGTGAATTTCAATAAACCCTTTTTAAATTCTTATGCATAGTAATCCCATCACGAAAATCATGCTATTTACTTGAAAAAAAAATCCACTCACAAGTAGTCCCACGCTGCGTGACCCTGAGAGGGTCTTGCCTATTGTGTATGTGGGGTCGGATTACCTATTTCAGAACACGAGCACGATATTAAAATCAAATGCTTCATACGAGGACTTTAAATTAAAATCCTATTTTCTCGGGTTTCTAGTACGCACGAGTAACGAGACACTCCTAGGGTCCCACTAAGAGTTTCGAATGCTGGAATAATCTCGGAAGACGCTCGGTCAACCGGACGGTCAAACTTTAAATTAATGAATCGGAACATCCGGGGCTCCAATTCACGATCCGCGAATTCCTATACGATCCTAGGAATACAAGGAACAGCATACGTGAAATTGGGTTTGATCCAACGGTCCAAACGTATCAAACCCAAAAGTCACACAATATGTCAAATTCGTTCGAGGTGCAAACGATATCCAAATTGAGATCCGAGCACACGTACGCACTCGTGACAACACAAGGATCATCTTAGGATAAAATGTGACTCCCCCTACTGTCCACGTGCCGCCCACGCGCCGGCGCGTGGGTGGCTTGATCAAAGTTCAGGCGGCCGGAAAAACTTCAAACCAAGGGCCAAGACTTCTATCCTAGATAAAACCCCCAATTTGGAGTCGTTTTTGTTCTTGGGCTATGGTCAAAAAGTGGCCGGAAGTGGCCAGAATTTCCATTCGAAAATCGGCCAAAACCTAATTCGAAAACCGAACTACAAACTCTCAAAATTTTTGGAAACCTATCCAACAGGCAGCTAGAGCACGAAGAGTAGATATATTTCCATACCTTACTCATCGGAAATGGTGGCCGGACGGCGGAGATCGAAGGCCGTGAAGTTTTCACGATTTTCCGACCAAAACACGTGGGTTTCAGGAAGCTGTGGCGTCAACGGAGGCGGGAGGAAGGCTGGAGTTGGCTGCTGTGCGACGCCGACTTGATTCCTGGCCGGTCCGGAGGTGGTTGACGGTGGCTAGGTGGCTGGGTGGCTGGGTGGTGATCGGGTCGTGATAGAGTCGGGGGAGGGGCTGGGTCGCGAGGAGAGAGAGAGAGTGAGGAAAAAGAAAAAGGATTTTCTAAGTTTTATTCCAAAATTAATTTTTGAAATAATTACAATTGTGCCATCGATGATTTTTATCTCGTATCTTCTTCGTTATAATCCCGATTCAAGCCTACCGCACGTCTACGAATTCATCTCGGTATGACCTTTCTAAAAATACCTCTTGTCATCCCAAACTCTTCTCGGATAAAAATGACCATTTTGCCCCCACTCGAGGGCAAAATTGGAAATTGAATTAAATTAAATTAAATTAATTAATTAATGAACTTATTTTGGGTCGGGATGTTACAAAAATATATTGAACATTCAAAATCCTCTATTTTCTATCCTTCTTTCTCTGCGTATATTTCTCCTAAAGGTTTCAACTTTTGTTTTTCAACCTAAAATATAAAGTTTGATACTAATTCAACATGGTATCAGAGCTCTGGGTCTGATTCCAGAGAGGGGTGTAAGCTGTGAGAGAGGGCTTTCCTAAAAAAATCCCCAAAAGGGATAAAGGTGGTTCTTTTATTGGTTGGTTCACTGATACTCACTTAGAAAATGGTGGGATCAGGTTCTTCAGGTGGACATTTACGAACTCCACAGTTTGATGGTGCAAACTACGATTTTTGAGCTGTCAAAATGGAGACTATCCTCATAGCACATGATCTATGGGATGTAGTAGAGGTCGGAGTACAACCTAAACCGATTCTCGAGGAGGAAGAAGGCTTTGGAGGTGAAGGAAGTGAGGTTGAGCAAGTTCCAGTGGAAGCACCACCATCTCCAGAGAAGACAAAATCAAAAACGCCAAGGCGCTGAGTCTCATTCAAGGAGCATTAACTGATGAGCTCTTCCCTCGCATCAGAAATGAAAAGACTGCAAAAGGAGCTTGGGATATTCTGAGAAGAGAGTTCAGAGGAGATAAAAAAGTAAGAGGTGTAAAATTTCAAGCAGTTAGAGCAAATTTTGAGTATATGAGAATGACAGATGGTGAAAGCCTAGATAACTATTTGGTTAGCTTTTTTGGAATTGTGAATAATTTGAAATCACTTGGTGAAGATGTGTCTGAACAAAGAATTGTGCAAAAACTATTGATGAGTCTAAGTAGAAAGTATAAGTCCATTGTGTCTATCATTGAGGAAACTCGAGATTTGGATGCTATTAGAGTTGAAGAGGTCATTGCATCAGTCAAGGTCTATGATAAAAGGGAAGACTTGACTGATGAAAGAGATAAATTGACAGGAAATGAGAGAGCCTTTAGTAGCCTCAGGGTTGGAAATAACCAAGTCACTGGTACCTATAAGGGTTCATAGAGTAGGCCAAATCAAAAGTGGCAGGGACAAGACAAAAAGGGATCAAATTGGTCTCAAAGTGGAAACTTGAACAATGGCTCAAGCTGGAATAATAGTGCTGGAGGAAATTGGAACAATAGATTCAATTCACATAACAAGCAAGGAAGTAGTATTTAAGGTGGTGTGAAACCACAGTGTCAAGTGTGTCAGAAGTATCATTTTGGTGTGTGCAGATACAAAGGAAAAGCTAGGTGTGGAAAATGCAATCGGTTTGGTCATACTGCAAAGGACTGTGATAGTCATAGTCATAAACAAGTGGCCAACTGTGCAAAGGAAGAAGAAGTAACCACAGGAACTATGTTCTATGCTTGTCACTCTCCAAGTTTGCAAGATAGAAGTGTATGGTTTGTGGACAGTGCCTGCAGCAACCATATGACATCTCAAGAGTCTGTATTAATAAACATTGACAGATCTGTGACTTGTAAAGTTAAAATGGGCATTGGAGATCTTGTACAAGCAACTGGAAAAGGCACTCTAGTGGTTGAGACTGGGCCTCATCATTTGGCCCGCAGGCTCATGGGCCTACGAGGGCCCGACCGGCCCATCGAAAAAAAGCCCGGCCCGGCCCGTTATGGGCTTTGAGAGGGCCCGACACGCTTGGGCTAGGGCTAGGCTTGGGCTTGGGTGTTTGAAGCCCGGCTCGGACCATAGGCCCGGCCCGATTAAGCCCATGAAAGCCCGGCCTATTAGGCCCACATACATATATAATTATGTATAAATAAGGGTTTAGGATTATGATTACATCACTTGAATGACAAATCCCCCTCTTTAATTTTTTGTGTGTGTGTGTTACTTGTTTGAAAAATTGTGTTTGTTTCCATTGAATTCTACTCATTTCTAGTTTATAATTGGATGATTAGCACATCAATTTGTGTCATTTGTTAATACAACAATTATGTATATAATAAGACGAACAACATATCATATCACCAAACATAATCATACCACCAAATATAATCATACTTTTCTTTAACACATCGCCAAACATTTGCATATTTATTTATTCATACCGTCCTTATAAAATAAATAATTTTTTTTTTACACTTATTATTTTTTAGGCCATTTCGGCCCGGCCCGATGGGCTTTTTCAAGCCCGACCCATGAGATGGGCTTGGGCTTTGAATTTTCTTTAAAAGCCCGGCCCGGCCCATTAACGAGCCCTAGTTGAAACTCAGCGTAGGAAAATATATATATATATATAAATGAAGTGTTGCTAGTTCTGGGTTTGGATGAGAATTTATTAAGTGTAGGCCAGATGATGGAGCATGATTACTATGTTCTATTTGGGGGTAACATGGCAATTATCTTTGATGATACTAGCCTCAACAATGTTGTAGCAAAAGTGGCCATGGGAGGAAATCGATGTTTTCCTCTTTCACTAGAATCTATAACACCTGCAGCAAGAAAAGCATTAGTGATTGAAGATTCTTGGATTTGGCATAGAAGGCTTGGACACTTGAACTTTGTTAGCATGAAGAAGATGCAGCAGAAGGAAATGGTACTTGGATTTCCTGTTTTGACAGAAATGGAAGATGTGTGTGAAGGGTGTGTTTCAAGGAAACAACACAGGGAGCCATTTGACAAAGAAAAAGCATGGAGAGCAAACTATCCACTTAAATTGGTACACACAGACTTGTGTGGACCAATGCAAAATGAGTCCATTGGAGGAAATAGGTATTTCATCACATTCATTGATGATTTCTCAAGAATGTGTTGGGTATACTTTCTCAGAAATAAGTCTGATACCTTCAATGTGTTCAAGAAATTCAAAGCTTTCGTTGAACTGCAAAGTGGATTTAGTTTGAAGAAGCTAAGGAGTGATAGAGGTGGTGAATACACCTCACATGAATTTCTGGATTACTGTGCAAGCATGGGAATGGAGAGGCAACTAACCATTGCCTACTCTCCTCAGATAATTGGAGTTGCTAAGAGAAGAAATGGAACAATTGGTGAGATGGCAAGGTCCATGATGACTGAGAAAGGAATTCCTGTGATTTTCTGGGCAGAAGCTGTGAGCACAGCTGTATACCTTCAAAATAGATGCTTTACAACATCTGTGTTGAACAAAACACCTTTTGAAGCTTTCATAGGTAGGAAACCTGGAATTAAGCATATGAAAGTATTTGGTTGTATTTTCTATACTCATGTCCCATCACCCTTGAGGCATAAATTCGATGACAGAACCAGAAAGGGAGTTTTCATGAGATATGGAAGCCGTGAAAAGGGATATAGAGTGTATGATCTGAAATCTAAGAAAATTGTACTCTCAAGGAGTGTAATTTTCAATGAAAACAAGTCATGGAATTGGGAAAGAAATCAAGTAGAGTCTATCTCAATACCTTTCAATCTTGAAGGGAATGGAACATAAGTTGAAGTTGGTGAAGAACAAACTAATGCAACCCAGTTTGATAATGGTGAAGCTCTCACTCAAACACTACTGTCGATGAGTCAGATGGGAATAACAGTGGAAATAACAGTCAAATCTCTACACCTAGCTCCACTCCAGTGAAGTTGACAACTCTGGAAGATATATATGCAAGATGTCACATGTGCATTATAGAACCAGAGAATTATCAAGAAGCAACAAGTGATATAGCTTGGCAAGAAGCCATGAATGCAGAGTTGGAAATAATTGAAAAGAACAATACTTGGGAACTTGTTGAGAGGCCAGCTGATAAACTTGTTATAGGTGTGAAATGGGTGTTTAAGACCCTAGATGGAACATTTCAAAAACACAAGGCCAGGCTTGTAGCAAAAGGGTATGCACAGAACCCTGGGATTGACTACAATGAAACCTTTAAACCAGTGGCAAGGTTAGACACAATTCGAACTCTCATTGCTCTTGCAGCACAAAAGGGGTGGAAGTTATTTCAGTTGGATGTTAAGTCAGCATTCCTAAATGGTGTGCTTGATGAAGAAGTGTATGTTGAATAGCCTGAAGGTTTTGAGTTAAAGAATGCAGGTCACTAGGTCTACAAGTTAAGAAAGGCCTTATATGGACTTAAACAGGCTCCTAGAGCCTGGTACAGTGAGATTGATGCATATCCCACTCTATGCAAGTTCAAAAGAAGTACACCATTTTTTGGCATGGGGATATTACAAACCGATCAAGGAGTATTCATCCATCAAAGCAAGTATGCTGCCAAATCACTGCTTGTGAAATTTGGACTTGAAGACTGCAAACCATTATCCATTCCTTTGCCCACTGGTGAAAAGCTTAAAAAAGTGGATGGTAGTGAATTGGCTGATGAAGGGCTTTAAAGGAAAATAGTGGGAAGTTTATTGTACTTAACAGCAACTAGACCAGATCTAATGTATGCTGCAAGTTTGCTATCAAGGTTTATGAATAGCCCTACCAAGAAGCATCTGGGGGTTGCACGAAGGGTTCTAAGATATGTGCAAGGGACTCTTAACTATGGCATTGAGTATGTGAAGGACAAGGCTGCAATTCTCATTGGATTCTGTGATGCAGATTGGGCAGGAAGTGAAGATGATAGCAGAAGCACCTCTGGTTATGCATTTAGCTTTGGCAGTGGAGCGTTTTCTTGGGCATCTGTGAAACAAAACACAGTGGCACTATCAACTGCTGAAGCTGAGTATGTCTCTGCATCTGAGGCAACAGCACAGTCCATTTGGTTGAGGTTTGTCCTTGATGATTTTGGGGACATGCAAACTGAGGCAACACCTTTATTCTATGATAATATTTCAGCTATATCTATGGTTAAGAATCCAGTTTTTCATCAGAGAACTAGACATATAAACAGAAGGTATCATTTTATAAGAGAAGCTCTGCAAGAAGGTGTGATCGATGTGCAATTCTGCAGAAGTGAAGAACAACTTGCAGACTTTTTTACAAAGGCTTTACCAAATGACAGATTTAATCAATTGAGATTGAGGCTTGGAGTTAAGCCAGTAAGCAGCTTAGGAGAGGCTATTGAGAATTAAGCTGCATACTAAGCTTAAATCAACCTGCAGATGACAATCCTGCAGATTGGAAGTGAAGAGAATGAAGAAATTGAAGAGATGAAGAATTTGCCTTTTTTAGAAATATCCGCTAGTTTAAATGTGTGACAGCTAGTTTTATTTCTGTTTTTAGAAACCCCCACAGCTGTTGTTATTCTTATCCCATTTATATTGTACTGTGTCATCCGATCTTTCTCCAAGTGGAAACATCGTAGCCTCCTATGGTCTGTATGGCTGGAGATGAGTCCTTGCTCCCTAAAAAAATAGGATCTGAATTTTGACTGAGAAGAGGAATATAGTCATGTAATTCCTCTGTGTTTTTTATAGTAAAAAATATACTGAACATTCAAAATCCTCTGTTTTCTATCCTTTTTTCTCTGTGTATATTTCTCCTAAAGGTTTCAGCTTTTGTTTTTCAACCTAAAATATAAAGTTTGATACTGATTTCAACAGTGTTTGAGCAATAAAAAGAAATATTAGCTATTGCTGAGCAATAATTTGATATCCTGCCCTAAATACACCAAGCCAGGACTGTAAGTACATAACTTTTGACCGAACCCCAACACATAATTCTCTAAAATTTCTTTATCCAAATGCTAACCATGTTCCCTGATGCTGCCCCTGTCAAAGACAAGCAAAGCCATAAGCATCTAGGCTGAAACTTAATATTCCACATCAAGTTTTCCATGATGAAATAATCACACAACATTCTCCTTTTTGGAACACTGAAAATTAAAAAGATCTTACAAGTATTCCCTTTTTTTAAATCTCAAGTCACAGCTAATTTACCAAAGAAGAATAAGAACATGCAGTACTTCATAGCATTGGAAACTTCAAGAATCTTCATAATTATCCAAGAAAGAAAACTTGATGCTCGAATCACAGATTTAAGAGTAACTAAAAGAGTAGAATTAGTACAAAAGTTCCCAATTTCAGAGTGCCAAGACACTTTTTGATGTAAACCCAAACTCATTAGTAATTGCACTGTATTTTCTTTC